TACTTTGAAATTTATTTATGTTTTAACTCTATTTGTGTGTGCTACTATTTCCCCGTGGATAGGGGATAAGAATACTTCCACGGCCCCTTTGCCAGTCGTAAGAGGCGACTAATGAGGTTGTGTCAGGTCGACAGTCGGCGTAAAAATCTTTGTCAAAAAAGTATGAGGAATCCTGAACAAAACTTAGGCGGATTGCCCCATCTCGGATGTTTTGAGCGTAGATGATGTGGGAGATCGTGTCAAGTTTGGGATAAGTGTGGCCGACTCCAAGTCGTTGGAATTAAGGCGAGGAAGAAAAAGAAGAAGATTTGTTTGTGCTACTACCAGTCTATAATATTCCAAATTTTTTTGTAACATGTTGCTATATAAATCATAAATTTAGAAAAAAAAATGATTTTTAGTTTCACATGAATTTAACGATGGATTTTTACAATTATAATCAAATTTTATAGTACGCTCCATTGAGTAAATCTTTTAACTACTTTTTTTGTTTGGTTTTTTATTTAAAGTAAGTCATTAAAATTAATTGAGTTCTGCGTATTTCAATTGTAAAATATTTTTAAACACCAAAAGTTAATTAGAAATGATTACTATGATTTTTATTGAAGTGATCTATTAAGATAAAATTGTAAAAAAAAATCTTTTCTGATAAATTTACTGTAAATAGTAATTAGAAAATTTCCTGGCTGCATATTAATCTTAACAATTTCATTTTTTTCTATTTAATAATGTCAATTTCAAACTTGCAAGTTGATATAAAAATTGTAGTAATAAATATATATAATTTTTTTTACTATTATAAACTTTCACTTTAAAGGACAAAATAAAGAAGGTTAAAAATTATTACTTTTAACACATTAAAAATCAATATCAATAATAATTTGAAAACAGTTCAATATAACAATTATATAATATATAATTTTATATTATATTTTTGAATCTAAGAATTACTAATCTGGATATAATTAAGGAAACAGTTGATGTTGCTTTGTAATTATCCACCAAATTCTTAAAATTAAACATTATCTACAGATTTGCATCGAAGCGTTTCTTATGATAGTGATTTTAATCACTGTCAGATTAAATCTATACTGGACCTAACTATGCCACGTCCCCACTGTGCCGCGATCCCACTGTGCTGGGTTTTTTTTTTTTTATATGCATTTTATGAAAATCCTATGAATAACCTATGCACATAATGGGCTTGAAACATAATGCAATATATAAAGTATAACAATTGTTATTAAAACAAGATTATAAACACCCAAGTATATGATAAGGCATTAACTAGTATTAATAATGAATTTAAATGATTTATATTTTAAATTGATCTATTGTAAGACTGCCCCTAATACAGAACTATTCATTTATTGTGAATTTTTTAATCATGAATCGTTATACGGTCGTGATTGTCAGCTGCCCATCGTCGCACTTCTCAGTGTTGACGATAACACTTTGCTCGTCTTGTCCGGCGGTTAGTACACGTCGGCGACTATGTAATTCTGTTCACCTGTGACTTACATCCGCCGCATGTGCCATCAAAATATATATCAGCACCTCAATATTGTTCACCCGTACTTTCTGTGTATTTTTCAGTATTTGAATAATATTGTTATATTTAGAATTAAAAATAACCTGATCCTACAGCCGAAACTAAACACGGTGTACGTGTTTTTATTCTTAATATCCCTTAAGACTAGTTCAGACTATGCCAGTAATTTAGTCGAGTGGTAAGTGATTTACTAACTACTAAACGGTTTAGTAACTGAAAAGTGTTCAGACAATACTAGGGTTTAAAACTGTTTTAGTACATTAATAGTCGTTTTGGTGTTGTGAAAAGCGATCAGCCGGGAAAGAGGGGGTAGCTACTCGACCAAAAAAATAGAATAGAATGGATTGACTAAACTAAACTACTTTACTAAATGACTCGACTAAATCGATCTGTTCATACATGATTAGTTACTAAAGTACTCGCTACTTGACTAAATTACTGCCATAGTCTGAACTAGTCTTTATACCGTGTTAACCTTTGGCTACCCATACAGGTTAATCAACCCGGTGCAATGTTCAAAAATCAGGTAGGAATTCTTTGATCGCCGCTTACAGAAAAATTGCTATCCAAGTATAGTACCGCTTAAGTAAATTTTGAGTAATTGTTGAATTCCACTGTTACACTACATGTGTGCATACAGTTGTAGGCAGCCATCACGTTATACAATCGTAGGTGTTAAGTTGAAAGTAGTGTATATAACGACATTGTTGTTATTATTAAAACTGCCCACGCGATCGCAAAATTCCACTGTACGATGATCTCAGTAAAGGTCGATTCACACTATACGGAACGTCAACGTCACGTCAAATTATTTAATTATGTATTTAAGTGATGTTGACGTTACGTAACGTGGCCGATGTATATGAACAATACGAGATAAATTCATGGTTAGTTATTTTGATTTGACGCTGACGTTCCGTATAGTGTGAATCGACCTTAACTTAAACTCATTTTCTTTGCTTCTGATGAACATAGATCGTTTATTTTAACGAATTTCTTTTATTATTAATTATTAATATTTATAATTATTAAAGGGCAAAAAATAGTTGGAATAAAACGCCGTGTCCGATTGACTCATAAAAACAAATAATGTTACCATAAACAATAAGTCCAATATTTTTATAATTTTTAAATTCGTTTGTCACAGTAATACGCACTGATTGTTTACATAATTAGCGTATAATATATTTTATTGTGAAATACGTCTAATTCACAATGAACACAGTACGATCAGTTACATTTTGTAATTAAACATTACTGTATATATTATTATTTTTTTGTTTGTATCAAAAAAAATATATAACTAACAGTAGTTTAATAAATAAATCTAGTATTATTAACACAACGTATATTGATGTCAAATGAAAAGTTTTTCTTCATTTGCGATCAAATAAATTTGGTTTACAAACAAAATTAAAAAAAAAAGAATCAATTATAAAAGATAATGACAGTGTTGAGTTTATAAAAATAATTTGTATTGAACTTTTTTCACTACATTTAATTTTAAAAAATCACATATATATATAAAAGATACACACAATTTTTTTTTTTTTTATCTTAATCACTTATTACTTTTTTTTAAAAATTTAGTTAATTTTAATTTAGTTTATTATTTTTTTCGCTCATTCTTTCCCCTTAAAAAAATTCGGTTTTATCTCTCTTATTAATCTAAAAAATACAATATCATTTCGCATATTTTTTTCTTTTTCTCTCTTAATTTACGAATATTTTTAACTTTTCTTTTTCTTTGCACCACTTTTGAATAAGCTAAATCCGGAAATGGCAAATTCATTAGATAAAATGTCTCTCACCGAGATAAAGCACGAATGTGTTTTCGGGGTTTATTCCTTTTACCGCCAGCCGTAACGACCTACTTTATATTTTTGAGGGCTTAGTTAAGGCGAAAAGGAACAACCCAGCCACCATTTTCCTACCACTCGGCCTCATATTCCAGCAGATTTTTCTATTATAGCATCATAGACGGTTGGGTTGGGTCACTGATCAGATCCGATTGGTACAGTAGATAAGTCCGAGAATAACTCTATAGTACAAAATAATGATAGTGAAGTGCAAGTGAATCCTCTAGACCAAACATATGGTGTTTTAGGTTATGAGTACCTCCCGCACCCATTTACCCATCATCGCACACCCACACACATAAATGCAGTTGCATCACAAAATTCACCCACACCTGGCTCCCATAATCAATATAGTGCATTCACAGTCATAAAAACAGCCGTCCACCACACCAAAAACAACTTTGGTAAATCGAATACCCTGACACTTGACCAAGTATCGACATAAAATGATCAATGACCACATGGGGTTGCGGCTAGTAATAGGAAGTTGTGGAATTGATAAAAGATGTGCAAATAGAACTAAGCTTTTGTATATTATTAATAATTCAGATTATTGTATTAAATTAAACATACAATGATACTTATTATATGATAAAATACATAGTTTAAAATGAACAATATAACACGTTTATACTTATATAATTACTAGTGTACAACAGTGTAAATTTCATGACAGATAAATTGAACATTTATTAACAGTGCAAAGTATTGGGCATATTAAGACAATATTTGAAAGGAAGAGTGTTTTTGTACAACTGATATTTAATAATGCTCTAGTATACAGTAATTAATACTTAAATATAACTCTTAAACATTGTAAAAAATAATTACATACACATATCTAAGTAACATTAATCATTTGTATTATATTTAATATTACACAGTAATAAAGTAAAAGTTAAATAGAAGTTTAGGATAAAGGTGGCCAACCACAAGTAGTCTGGATAAAGACGAAGAAAAATTAAGTAAAACAGTTAATAGTACCAACATTAAGGGGGTTTGCGCATTTAAGAATTTAACACTATACTAGGGTTAATAGAATAATTACANTAAATAGAAGTTTAGGATAAAGGTGGCCAACCACAAGTAGTCTGGATAAAGACGAAGAATAATTAAGTAAAACGGTTAATAGTACCAACATTAAGGGGGTTTGCGCATTTAAGAATTTAACACTATAGTAGGGTTAATAGAATAATTATATTGTATATATAAAAAAAAAAAAAAGTTAAAAGAGCTGAAATAATTATTTCTTTAGTCTGAAAATATTTTAGTTGTTTATATGATATATATCTATCCATAAATTATATTTATATTATATTATATTCTTTTCATTAAATTCACATGATGTAAAATAAGAAAACAATCTTAGACTCTAAAATTAATTTTTCTCAAGTCTTAGAAATATATAAAATGTTATTTTAATAATAAATAAAAGGCAGGTTTTAAAATTTTTGATTTTATTAAATTTTTATTTTAACAATTTATATTCATTAAATTATAAATTAACTAAAAATTATTTAACTAAAATTCAACGTATTTTTATGTATTACAATTGTATTGCTGAAATTACATTGTAGCTATAGTTATGGTAACTAAAATCCAAAAAAATTAAGTCCAAAAGATGTACTCACCAAAAAATAAAACACATAAGTCAATAGGAACAACGTAAACATATGTAGATAATATAATCTGAAAAAAAATCAATGGTGATTCAGAGAAAAAAAAATATGATTAAGTATAAGGAGAAAAAGTAATATCCGCCTCCTCGTAACATTAAAAATTTTGAATAATTATAGAAAAATATTTTAGCGTAAAACGAGATGTGTTTAGATTTCAGAAGAGACAAAAACTGTATTTTTTTAAAAAACGAATATATTTTTTGTTATAACTCCTTAGCAAATTATTATACATGACTATTTTTAGCACATATGCATAAAGAAGTTTCTAATGTATAAAATGGAATAAAAATGTGTGTTTTTAAAAATATTCGAGGTCTTTAGTTATAGAATTTGAATATTCACCACACGTTTGGTAAATAATTAAGTTCATGTGTAGGTTTTAACGATATTTTTAAAAAATATATATTGTATAATATGTATTTTCCGCATAAAACTATTTTATTATTTTCATTATTTTAAATGAGAAGATAGATATTTAAATAGCTTATACATTATAAAAAATATTTTATTAAGAAAATGATGGTTAATATTGACTTATTTATATTTTGTAAATAATTTAGTGGGTTAAGATATACAGATAACCATATATAATAAATGTAAAAGCGAGTATTTTGATAAAACAAAATATAAACAATTAACCTCTAAACGATAATTTTTAAAAAATATGTCACATTTTAATGTAACTTTAAATTTTATAATTATGTTATAATACTGTTAGTTAAAGAAATTAAACATACCTCTTATGTTTTTTTAAAGCGTCTGAAATATTCTGTTTATTTTCATGTAAAATATAATTTCTTATTCCAAAATAATAGGTTTGTATGTATGAACTCCAGTCAAAGTGTTCCATATTGAAAAAAAAAATTTTTTGTTCTTCCTCGCTTAGTAAAGACCATATTTTTTGTGTATTTTTGTTTTTAAACTTCCATTGAGATAATGTAAAAGGACGTAAAACATTCATCATTTTGTTTGCTTTTGTATACATTTTATAAAATCTAAATTATGAAAAAATATTATTCATTTTCTAGTAAAGTAATTTTTAATAATATTATTTATTTATTTTAGCAATACATTGTACTAAATTTTTATTAAAATGAAAGCTTAATACCTCGTACTTTTTCCAACTAATAAGAGCATACAATCAAATATAATTCCTGGTATCCAATGTAAAAATAACCATAAAAATTTTCCCAGCCATTTATTGTCATAAGTATAGATAATCCCGTACCAAATAGCACAGTTAGGAGGAGCTGTGTAAAAAATTTGTTTTGACTCACTCATATAGCGCTCCCAAGTCAATGGACTAACGGTTGATGAAACATAATTGTATATTTTTGGCTTATCTGAGACCGAGTTTTGATATCTATAAAATATTAAAAATATGTACAATAATATGTGAATTTGAGTTAATTATTACATCAGTGAAGTAACTCAGAATGTTATGTTAAAAGAAAATCAATAAAATTAGTTCATAAAAAACTCAAATGAATCGACAATTATTCTTGATTCATCACACTGTCATATGAACATACTTAGTCTTAATTAAAACAATTAAACAAACAAATGCTTACAAATAAAGTATATTATACCTGTTAGCTGTATCCCACATAGATGCTATCAAAGCGTTTACCGTGTAGTCTGCTGGTACTATATCGACCACATTATTTAATTTGCACGGAATAGCTCTAAGAAAACCTACTATTGTTCCTGCTACTACACCTGATGGGCCATTCATATTTTCTAAGTAGCCTGGAATAGGTTCTTTAAAAGTGCTCCCCACTAAAATGGTTTTAAGTTATTATAAATTAAAAATATTAATGTATTAAGGAGTGACAAATTGGTGTTTAAAATACTATGCGTGCACATAACATAAGTTATATAAATCAATAAAATGTTGTATTTTATAAAAAAAAAAATAATTTATTGCTATAAGAAAATAATATTTATTTTAAAAGTGTATTTAAATGTATTTAAAAGTGTAACCTTAATTATCTGTTTGATTAGTCATTAATTATTATATTATTTATATAATGAAGTAATTTGTAAAGTACATATGCAAGCACCACAAAATTTTATTATTATAATCTGATTATAAAGTTCTGATATAACAAAAATAACAAAAAAATGTAAATAACACTGCTGTTAGCATGACCAAACCATCTATGTCTAATTTCTCTCATATTCACGATTGACGCCACACCTATACGCCCTGTTATATGTTCGTTCCTTATCCTATCTTCTCTAGTCATTCCATTTATCCTTCTAAACATTCTCATCTCTGCTACTCTCATTCTCTGATCTTCTAGTCAACTGACCAACCGTTCATATAGAATTTACCTTTCAGCCTCTTTGCAATTCTTTTAACGTATAACACGCCAAACGATTCTCTCCACTTCAACCACCCTCACTTAATCTTGTGTCTTACATCCTCGTCAATACCAACGCTGCTGTTTTGCACAACTAATCCTGAATACTTAAAACTTTCCACCTCTCCTATCACGTTCTCACTTATTGTCACTGATCTCATTTTACCTACCTCGTGTTCTCCTTTGTCGAACTCGTACTCTATATACTCTGTCTTACACCTACTTATTCTTAAACCCCTTTCTTCATGAGCTAATCGCCACACCTCTAGCTTTATTTGCACTCTACTCCTTATATTTCTCTAATAATTTCTTCTATTTGCACTTATTAACAACAAATAAGTTTTTATAGCAGAACCTTGGTGCTCTCTTACTCTTTTCCTAAAATCTTGTTACTCCGCCCACACGTTTCACCCGGATATAAGTGCCATCATACATATCTTCTATAATATTTATGTACCTTTTCAGGACTTCTTTTATTCATTAAAGCCTACTTTATAAACTATCTTGGTACTCTATCATACACTTTCTCCAAATCTATAAATACCATACACAGCTTTTTCTTATTTATTCTTCTACTTTTTACTTATCTATTAGTTGTCTCAAACAAAATAATGGCTTCATTGTTTATTTACCAGGCATAAATTAAAATAAAATATACTATTTAGTGATGTATATTTTATTTAATAATATACATTTATATAAGGTGATTCTTTTTAATGCTAGACACTCGATTTCTAATTAATAATATTTTTTTTTAGCTTCGATGCGTTGCTGAGAAGGTATGATGTGTTTTTTTTTTTTTTGGTGTCCGTTACCAATTTTTCTCAGCTCTCACCGAACCGATTCCTTTTAGTGATACGTCAAAAGAGCACAAATCGTATCTAGTCGAAGACATTACCCTCAAAAATTGAAAAAATTTCCCTCGTTTCCTGTAAATAGGGAAAACCTCCAAAAAAACTACAAATTTAAAATTCGCTAATTTTCGAAATTTTTTTTACTTAAAACTGCCATAAATTTTCCAAAAATGAACAAATCAATTTTTTTCTATAGATGCTTCATGTTTTTACCTATCACTTAGTATATATCTTTATAAATTTGACCCTAGACCTGCCCANAAAATGAACAAATCAATTTTTTTCTATAGATGCTTCATGTTTTTACCTATCACTTAGTATATATCTTTATAAATTTGACCCTTAACCTGCCCACGAGGGGCGATATANTTTATAAATTTGACCCTAGACCTGCCCACAGGGGGGGATTCAAAATGACAACTTTTTCACAAAAAATTGACTTTTTAACTTAAATTTTGAAAGTGTTCCGGAAAGTCTGACACTTTAATATATATCTTAAATTAAAGCTAATGTAATGTTCTTTATTATGCAAAAAAAAATTCGGACTTTATTTTGTCTTCATTATGAAAATGTCTACCAAATGCTATTATTGTATGAAAATTCTCGATTTTATTTTTTACATTTTTAACTTTATAATGCTATAACTTATTGAATAGTGTATGGATCAACATAATTTTTTTATGAGAAATAATATTTTTTAATAATCCCTTTTCCATTTGACATTCTCTATCTTAAACAGGATATTAATAAGGAACTAGCAGATCATGTAGCTTTTGGAATAATCCACCAATTTTTTAAAATTAAGCACTATCTAAAGATTTGTATCGAAGCGTTTTTTTTTTATAGTGATTTTAATCACTGTCACATATCATTATACTTGATCCAACTATGCCACGTCACTACTGTACCGCGACCCCCCGTGTGCTGGTTTTTTTTTTTGGTTTTTATGAATTTCATATGTATTTTCAAATTTATTATCAGATATTTTTAATGTTAATCCCTTATGCTTTATAGATGTGTTAACATTATTTTTTTTATGAAATCAAACATATTTAACTTGCTTATAAAATAAAAATTTATTTTATTAATAAAACGAGTGATCGACAAGTACTTTTGAATTAGTATTTAGTGATGGAGAAATGGCTAGCGATAAAAATAGTAACATCCATGCTTCACATCCAGTCAATATTTAAAAAGTTACAAATAAACAAAAATGTTAATGCGTTCATTTTTTTATTTCTATAAAACTAACTTTCGATTACTTAGTTAACTTCATTAAATTAATCGCAGAAAAATGGTAAATATATTTATATATATATTTTCTTTTTTTTAATTTTGTTTTAGGAAAACGTAAATGAGGGCAAACGAGGCTAGTTGTTATAATATTTTTATTTATTTTTCTTTAACAATTACCTAAATGTTTATAAATTATGTTTGTCTAATGATTCGAAGCTATTATAAATATTTCAATAAATTTTAAGTACAAAAAATTAAGTAAAATTAGCTAATCAAAATATAACAGCTCGTCCAAAGGTATCATAAATTTATCCTACCTTAACAGTATACATTTTTCTAATGTATAATATTTTAAAAATAACAAATAAAAAATTAAACATTATTTTATTCAGCTTAATTACACCTCTCAAAAAATATCTTAGTTTCGGAATTTTTGTATTTGTTTATATTTTATTATATATTACTCGAGTTAAGCAATTTTCCAATCTAAATGAATAAAATTATATTAAATTTATTAAAACAGTAATTTTTAATGGGTAATAAATATACTATCACAATTATTAAAAACATAAAATGACAAACAAATATTGATATTGATAAGGTATGATCAATATTTTGCCAAAATATTTGAAACATTATTGATTTATGAAACCATATACTTTACAAAGTGTTTTTATAATTTTAAATTAAAATATCTTTGTTGTATTAACTTGGCACCGTAACAACCAGCTACACTCTTTCTTGTATATTTTTTGGCAAACCACCCAAAATCAAAATATTTAAAAGTTACAATTTATTACAGAAATACGAGATATGTTCAGAAAATAACGGGCATTTTGTTTTTTTGAAAAAAATATTTATGTATTGGTTTACCATAATGTTTTTGCCTTCATAAAAGTCCTCACTAGATATTATGCACTTGTGCTAATGTTTCTTTCAATCGTAGAAACACTTCTAAAATTCGATTTTTGGGATAGCCTTCATGTCATTCAGCGATGCGCTTTTAATGTCTTCTATGCTTGACATAGCATATTCTATGCTAAACGGCAGCCCTTTAAGGTTCTCATTATTTTTGGAATTAGAAAAAAGTTATACGGAGGTATATCTGGCGAATATGGAGTCTGAGGCACCGTTACAGTATTGTTTTTGAGCAAAAATTCATGAACAATCCATGAAGTATGAGCAGGTGCATTATTGTGGTAAAAAAACCATGAATTGTTTTGCCTCAAATCCGGGAATTTTTTCGGATTGCTTCACGCATTGGCATTGAACTTGTAAGTAGTAATTCTTATTGACTGTTTGACCTCATGGCAAGAATTATGATGCACAATGCCAATAAAATCAAAGAATACAGTGAGCATAATCTTCACGTTCAATTGCACTTGTCGAGCCTTTTTCGGTCTTGGCGATCCAAAATGCCTCCACTGGAACAACTGAGCTTTAATTTCGACTTCGTAGCAAGTTCTTCGTTTCCATCAATTGTTGGTATGTTAGGACGTCTCGAGCGTTCGTCATCTTCAACGTATTCACAGCCATTTTGGAAATGCTTATATAACTCGTAAACTCTTGTTTTACTCACGACAGACTCACCACAGGACTTTGTTATCATTTCATACCCTTTGTTACACATTATTTCATTTTTTACGCAAATTTTAATACAAATCCTTTGATCCATTTTTTTAAACAAACAAAAATCAACAAGGTCATAAAAACACGTCTAACTTTAGCGGCTGCCATTGACAAAGTAAAAAACCCAGCACAGGGGGGTCGCGGCACAGTGGTGACGTGGCATAGTTGGATCAAGTATAATGATATCTGACAGTGATTAAAATCACTATCAAAAAAAAACGCTTCGATGCAAATCTTTAGATAGTGTTTAATTTTAAAAAATTGGTGGATTATTCCAAAAGCTTCATAAACTGCTAGTTCCTTATTAATATCCTGATTAAGACAAAGTATGTCGAATAAAAAAGAGATTATTAGAAAATAGTATTTCCCATAAAAAAATTATATTGATCAATACACTTTTCAATAAGTTATAGCATTATAATGTTAAAAATGTAAAAAATAAAATTGAGAATTTTCACACAATAATAGCATTTGGTAGCCATTTTCACCTTGAAGATAAAATAAAGTCCGAAATTTTTTTTTTCCATGATAAAGTATATTACATTAGCTTTAATTTAAGATATATATAAAAGTGTCAGACCTTCCGGAACATTTTCAAAATTTAAGTTAAAAAAATTAATTTTTTGTGAAAAAGTTGTCATTTTAAATCCTCCCTTGTGGGCAGGTTAAGGGTTAAATTTATGAAAAAAAATAT